CTCTCTCTCTCTCACGCTGGTGAGCTGCGGGTGCCTGATAAGCCAACATCCCCCACTTTCATCACTTACAGCGCCCATCGTACGGGGCAAATGGAAAATGTAACCGGGGTGAAAAGGGTGTTATCTTTACTTAATTATGAATGTTGTTACATCAAGGCTGAAAATTCATTTTTTTGAAATTATATTTGTATTTAATTTTGTGGAAGTGCAGATCCCCTGTCCTCCACCAGGGGGTGCTGCAGCACCCTCAGCACCCCTACTTCCCACGGCCCTGCCCTTGTACAAGTTATTGTATGACCAGAAGGAAGCAGGACGGATCCGAGGCACACACAGTTCGGAAAACAATGATTCAGTTGTGTAGTGGTGACCATATGAAGGCTAGTTTAGCTGTATTTCCAGAGGGCACCTACAGTATGTGAACACACACCTCAGATTTGTTCTAAATAGCATATTTTCATAATTTTATTTAGATTATTGGTTGAGTGTGTTTACATATCAATGTCATGTCTACGGTATTTTACTGTGATGCAGTAATGAGCCCTAAAAAACATAAATAAGTTAGCATTTTACCACTTTCGGTTCCCTTTCTGAATTCAATGGTTTTTTAACGTGTTTTTGGTAAGATCCTTCTGAAATAAGGTTAATAAGAGTTTACGATACTTTCACATTTTTTCTACGACATAAAAAAAGTCAGTTAATACCCCACTGGTGAATTATGTCATAGCATTGGTGATGCGCAGCCATGACTGTGATGTAGTTTGTTTATAGCCTACATTATTTTCTACATCTGGCGATTGCATTTAAGCTTCCAAAATCATAAAGTGGCGTTAATATGTGCTGAATATCTTGCTGAACAAAACATGGAAGTATTATAAACGTGCATATACCAGGTATCCTATCTCTGTAAAATCAAAAATTCCAAACGGAAAAATCCCATTGCTTTTCGTTGAAGGAGCTCTTGAGATGCTAGCCTCCGGGTCGTCCTTTATTAATAGGTCATGAATGCACCACTATTATATCTTGCCTATGACCTCCAACATTCGTTTCCATAAGGTTGGAAGAACAAAGGCTTTAGCGTAGTGTAAGGAGCTGATCACGTGGGCCTACAGTCAATGCTAATCTCTCTTGCTACCTTGTGGTGATAACGTTCGTCTTTTCAGATGGCCTTTTCTGCTTCACAGATTATAAAAAGTGGTGGTAAAAGTCGACCATCAGTTTTTAAGAATGTGCAATTGAGTTAAAAACCCTTCAGGTTGTAGTTGAAACCAACGTGAGGAACAAACTCTGTTTCCGTTAGCTCTGTGTCTAACCGGCATGGGTGTCCACATCAATTGCACGTCAAGTTTGCATCAGCAGGTTTGGAGATTTATTTAATGTCATAGCAGCAAGTTGTAATGTAAAGTAACAACGACATACACACTTGTAAGACCATCAATGAAGGATACAAAGTTTGCACACATTTTTTTTCTTCAGTCACGGTTTATGCTGCCTACTTAATTTCGACTGTTATTTTAATAACATAGTGGTAAAAGACCCTCATGGGTTTCATTAAAGTGATGGTAAGCGAACACTTACAACGCACATGGTGATGTGGGCTAAATATATGCCATGAGCAATGAATCAGAAGAATTACAGCCACACGAAAATACTATAGCTCCTATTTCAATGATAAAAATATGTATTGCAAAGACAGGCTCGCTGTCCTTATTCATGATTCAATAACCAATAGCTTTTTTTCTTTCTGAACCACTGTTTCAGCAAACTGCATGACATGGCACTTATGTTAAAACAAACAGTGACTGGCAAATGGAAATAACATTCACACCAAAACATAGCTTATATATTGTCGTTCAACTCATTTGAAGGCTGCAGTAATACAGATACAGCACACTACAATCCTCAAGTCAGTGAATTAAAATACTGCTGCATCTGAGATATACTTTTGGAGTTTTTATAGAAAGGAAGACCATGAAGAAGTCTTTTTTTGTACACATTTGAGGTGCAGTTTGATAGAATGGAAAATACAATGAAGAAAGTCACAGCTGCTGTGTGTTTCCTCCTATGTCTTTAATATAAGTACACTGTGTCAAAATGGCTACATTTTACTGACATTAATGATACTTTAATTGTTTTTGTATATGTAAAAAATAATTGGCATACATGACAAATAATAAGTGGACTAATGCCCGTTCATCTCTGCGATCACAGCATACTGTACTTTTTCTGAACTGCCCAGCTGTTTCTCATGTCTGTAACATATTCTAATCACACCTCTCACAGAGACACCCTCTAATCATTAGTACACACTCTTATTGGGACAACTCCTGAATCTGATATGAATAAATATAGGTATATAAAAATACAACAAGCATACCTACAGTATGTCCTGCTGCTCTTCCCTGGTAAAATGTGTGTCATACAACTAGATACTGGTGTACTTATATACACTATGATATTTAATAGTGGCTCCTAATTTGCATATTTTTCATTTAAACGTCATAATATATTTGAGTGATGATTGTTTTTATTTGTGGATTAATACAAATGTTTTAATTTTACCCATTTCAGTTCAGAGTATTGTTTTATTAGAGCACAGGATTTATTGGTATACATACAAAGATAGGTATATACAATTCATGACTCGAATCATGACAGTTTTACATTTAACTTGCCTTTGACGGAGAGATTCCAATCAGTTTGAACTTCAAATGAAAGACACAGGGTACAGAGAGGCTTAACTCTCAGCGAACAGCTTCAGGGTTTTACAATTTTGGCCACCACCAACTCTGTGGTGATTGAACATTTCACAGCTGAAATCAGTACATTCTGTGGAAAAGAAATCGCAGTAATACAGTACAAACAGCAGAGGGGCCATTTGGCTTCTTAATTCATGTTACAGATCCAGGAGTAGTCACTTCTCTGGTCTATCCCCTCAAGAAACAACCATTTTTCTTCTCATGCTTATTGTGGTTAGAAGACAAACATATTTTGTCAAACTCACCTCTGGATTTTCAGAAGTAGACAGTGTCAGACAAATACATTTTCCTCCAGCCACATTAAATTATTGCAATTTCAATACTGCCCAACTTATTTCAAGAACATAAAAATAAAGGCAAGTTTGACAGTGCACTAATAGACTTTTTCATGCAATGTTCAGATTTTTGTCATGTATACAAAAGCATTGTGTCACATAGGCTTAGTATTACTTTGAGCATTGCCACTTTGAACACACCTTGGATTAGAATTTGATGGAAAGCTCTTTTCTTGACATGGATCATTGTGGACAAACAATAATAATAATAATAAACAAAAGCTGAAAATAAACGGTAGAACTGTGTATTAATTGACACCAATGAAGTCAGGTGGGTAACACCAGCATTCCATTATATTAACATGATTCAAAGCTAGCAATGTGATGGGATTAAATGTCTTTATGATTAGTATACAGATGTGTCAAGTGTCTAAGGTTCACAACTGCATGGGGTAAGCTTACGTTTATGTGACAAATCATGGAGTTCACATTTGCAATTATTTCTTGTTTCCTTTTCCCTTTTAAAAAAAAGTATATTGCTTCAAAAAACTTGTTTTTCTTTTTTGATATTGTGAAACATATCATTCACCACTTCTCGGGGTTTGTCTAGCTAGACAGAGCATTACATTATCAGTCAAAGATACATACAGAAAGATGCTGTGAATCCGAGAGATTAAACGATCAACGATGGGACGTGACAGTGACTTATACTTGGGACCACTTGTTGAAGTCTGTCTGTCTGTCTGTCTGGGCCGACCTGCTATCTACCAGCAGGTGGCACAATGTAAGCACTGATGTATTGCCTGGGTGAAGGGGAGGGGCTGAGAGATTAGTCTGTCACAGTAAAAATAGTCAGTCCAAGGACCCGGTGTGTTCCGCTCTGTGACTGAGGATCAGCAAACCTAGCTGCACATGCTCTCCATCCATCCCTCACACCCACCGCCTCCCACGCATCTCGTCAGTGAATAATGTTATAACATAAAGGGGCTCCTCATTTGCTCTTTCCAGAAGTGCTGGAGCCCCCTGCCCCTCCCTCCATTTTGTCGGCGATTTCTGACGTGTCTAACTTCTCAGAGCCGTCCCCTTTCTCTGACCTCTCCTTCTCAGACCTCTCCTCCCCCTCGGCCAGCTCCGACCTCTCTGACCTGGCGTCGGCGTCCCCCTCCGACTTCTCCTTCCTCTCCGAGTGGTCGGGTTCCATGGACGAGGTTCCCGGCTTGTCCCACTTGCCCAGTTCCTCGTATTCAGATATACAGATGGTGATGCTTGAAGTCCAAGCCTTCATGTCCTCCTTTAGAGAGCAGCAAATGACACACATTTGTATTATGTAATCATTCTCACTTCTGGTTATCACTTTATGTTTTGGGATTCAAGTGTCATCAATACAGATCAACGTTTTTATACATCATCGGGTTGAGTATGCCAAGGACACTGACATGTTGTCCACTGACCTTCGATTGGTGGACAACCACTCTACCTAATAACCCACAGCCACCGCCATGGGGTGTGCGATCGCAGGTTTTAATTGGTAGGGAAAGAACGGAGCTTGCTGTAACTTTAGAGAATGCTATGACTAGTTCCCAAGGCCGGATTAGTGACAAATATTTTACATTTTCATTCAATCTGGCATGTCAATCGCACACCTATTTGTCAAAAGCAGGGAGTTCAACCAAAGTATAGGTCTAGTCTTTTGCCCTTTCAGTAAAAAATTACAAGACAAGGATACAATGGATAAGAACTCAAGACAGTGTATGGCTCAAGAAGATCTAGGTAATACGCCACGCGTAGTAATAAAGTTGAGCGCATACATAGTGAGACCTACACATAGACTGTTTAGAAAATATATTAATTTCACCCTATAGAAAAGCCGAGTTATTCATTGCGGCGGAGCGTGAGTTTCATTTAAAACAATGTATGATGAGTGAGGTTTTTTTTCTCTTGTCACTGAGGGCCCTCTCTTGCTCAAGGGCCCCTGGGCACGTGCCCAGTGTGCCCATATGGTTAATCCGGCCTTGCTAGTTCCTAACCACATTGAGGACAACAGGTTCCATATACGGGTTATAAAGAGAAAATGTTCCCTGATATTTGAAAGAAAATGACAGTATGCTGCAAATTCTGCTCATATTTTGAGACATTTTTGTATTCCTATAGAGAATTAGAAAAAAGAAAGGAAATTAAAAAGAGACAAACTAAAGCAATGTCTGATAGTTATTTGCATAAGGTAAAGATCACAGTGTGAGGAGACTGAACATCATGTTTTTGGTTGAGTTTCTTTCCAGTATTTTGGTGCAATGGAAGTATGCTAATGAATTCTGCTTCAATTGGTTTGTTCTAAATCCAATTCTACATGCAGGTTTTTGTTAGGTAATAATAACCCTTCAACAGATAAGACGGTCGATCATTTATATTTTGTTATTGTCAGCAAATCTGTCTGGTTATAACACTTCCTAAAAGTGGCCGACTCAGGCTTTCTGAGGGTCGGCAGATCACCAGCCACACAAGGGGAGATGGAGAGGAAAAGGTTTTCTGGCATGTAGGACACCTTTGCGAGCACAGCATCACGTTATATTAAACCCAGCATGGCTAAAGCAGGCAGTTGTGTCTGCCTCCGTCAGATGCTAACTTGTAAATGCTAACTAGACTATTCTAGCAAATATGCACAGCTATCTTTACTTTCTTTACTCATAGGACACGGTCAAGATATTAGACTTTTATACATTTATGTCATAGCAAATGGACCTTTTGTATGTCTAAACAGCGCTCCGGTTGTTTCTGCTTCTCCCCTGGGGGACACGTTAAAGGATATGTTAGGGGTGAAACAAATATCTCAACTTGATCATTTGTAAGAAGCTGATGTTCTCATGACAGTACGTCATTTTTAACACAGCGATTACGCCAGCAAGATACTGCAACTCAGTAAATAAGGCATTATATTCCAATCAAATGTCCCTGATTTAAAGTAATTTAGGTTTAACCAGTTTAACTTTATTTAGAAATGAGGAAGAAACAAGAATTCTGTTTCTTCTGTTGGCGACCGAAACGCAAAGACAGTACCTCACATTGGCTTCCTTTATCAGACCTGGAGGTTCTGAGGTTGTTATTTATTAACCTGTTTCATTTTGTGTTTTAGTCAAATGTCACTCAGCAACACAATTAACTGTGACACAGTATTTTGTTTCAATGTAGATTTGTATGCACCTCTGTCAATATATACTTTTCTGTTAAAAAGGCCAATAAGCAAATTAGGAATAATAAATAAGCTACAGTGTGTGTGTTCATGGTGATAAAGGAACATGACACAGAGTGCAACAGTGTGGCTCACTGACAAAGGAGCTCTATGGCACCAATCATTAAGATACATCTGGCTTTGGTTTGGATACATACATCATTGTTGTTATTTTAATACATACATGGTTTTGGTCTTTTCATTGGACTTCAACAAGATTACCAGACTCACTCTAACTTTACTGAACATATGTAAACAACCTTTATGTTAGGTATCTTCCTTGATGTGTAGTTATCTCCTGTTGGCTCCTTATGGCTCTCTTATGTGGAAAACATAAGGTCTATATTAAGAGACAAAACTGCATGATGTCTGCCCCTTTTAAACATGACTCAAATACAAATGTTCTTACCTCATCTTTTGCATGGAATGCAAAGTTGTTACCATCAGCCATTCTGCAGGAAAAATGAACAGGGATTATCAGTTTCTCATTCACTGTAATCATTGTTTTAAGGTTGAATAATAAAAATAGTAATAATATTGTAAAGTTGTAAATATTCTGTGCTTTGATTTTAAAATTTGAAATGTAATATCATGATTTGTGTCACAATAACTTACTGAAGAATGAAGACATTTTTCTTCTTCTTGTATCCCATAGAAGGATCAAAGGTGCAGTTAGCCAGCTCCACAGGAGGCTCCTCGTTGTATGTCGTAGTCAGGTGCCTAGCATCCTTGTAGAAAAGCAGCTGTCCCTCTTTCAACACACAGTACACGTTCAGCCAGGATTTGCTGTGAAATGAAGATGACACATGTAACAGATATCAACAGATTACGATTGAATACATGTTCAGACATGAGCCAGTGGAAAGATTGACAGAGTAACACAATGTACAGGTTATTACAGAAGTACACTTTCCTTCACATTTTCCAAACACAATGATAGTGGAAGCAAAATTATCATTGAAATTCCCAGGCCTTTTTAAAAAGTTGTCAAGACGCCAGACAAAGCAGGCTTCTTTTTAATAGCAAACGACTGATAATTTGTCGGTTTGAATGTCCGCTGTTGTTGGCAGATTAGCATAAACTACTTCCAACCGAGCTGGTCTCCAGCTAACCTTTTAAGGTTTCCAGCTGACTCATTTAAAATGAGTATCTTGTAAAAGGGGTCTTAATACAATTAAATAATTCCACAAGTTAATGATTCATGTAGAAGATATCAAGATGTTGCAGTGTAGTTTTAATTGAATACAAAACAGTGTATGTCTTAGTTGTGACCAGCTTTTCTTTAACATAGCATTACTCCACAAATTACTCTAGATAGTTCATAATGCCCTCCATTGCCTGGAAGTAAAGCTCGGTGACTGTAGGTTGTAAGCTAGTAAGCTGGACATGCTAACATTCAAATCATATGTTTATGCAGATACATTTCTTATCTTCCTTACACTTGGGTAGACAGATCTCCAGACTCCATGAAATGTCTACGTCTGATTGGTGTTGACATTGGTTATACCTGTTTGGGCTTCTCTGCTGAGCTTCAAGGTCAGATGATGTGGCCTTTTTGCGGTAGAGGAAGCCTTCGTTGTGGGCAGTGTGTGAAGGCGGCTGAGGTGTGGTTGGGGCCCCAGTAGCTGGAGCTGAGCGAGAACGCCGTGTCTCCTCAGGCTCTTTGGGACGAGGCCTCCTCCTCGGTTTGGGGCGGTCTCGGGCCCGAGGACGTCCATCAAAACGAGTCACCGGTGCTGAGAGGCTGCTTGCAGGGCGATAAGAATCTCCTCGTGCCTGAGGAATGAAAAAGAAGAGAATGTCATATCAATACAAACATTTAAAAAAGAGCAACACTGTTTTGATGTACCGTGCAAGCTTACTCACAGATGCTGCCTCTCTCTCCTGGACTTGTTCAACAATCTCTGCCATGGTATTTCTCTTATCCCTGTAGTTACAACAGACATGTGTCACCCGAACACAATCATCATGTGACACTACAAATCTTTAGGGTCATACCACACAGTGTTGACTATGCAAATGTGTTAAGATCATCTGACTTTAACTGTCACCACACTGAAAAAACGGAAACGTTGACTTTAATTAAAGTCAGTGTTGCAGTTTTTTCAGTGTAGCATGGCTCATTCACATACCCTGAGCGTTTGTCAGAACCGTCCTTAACAGAGCCCTCCAGGTCACTCGAGTCCTGCCTCTGGAGCCTCTGCTTGCCGCTGCCCTCCTGCTCGCTGGACGACTGCCTCTCCAGGCGCCTCCGGTAGCGCTCCTGACGCACAATCAGCGGCAGCTCGTTCAGCCTAGCCTGGATCTCTTGTTCGCTGGAGGTCTGTCTACCCAACTTGTACTCCCTCTCTCGCCTCAGGTGGTCCATCTGAGGATCCGAGCGGCTGCCACGGGGATCCCTCTGGAGGCGGCCGTGGAGGAGCTCCAGCCCCGACTCTGGCCCCACCATGTCGGCCATTGGGATGTCCCCAAACTGTTCCCGCTGCGCCCTGCTGGCCTCTAGGAGGGGGTTTACAGCCTTGTGGATGTGGTTGATCCTGGGCTGCATGAAGTCAGCTTTCAGATGCTGCCATGCATATGCCATTTTAGGGTCCATGATGCCACCGCTTTGCGCCAGGTAACTAGAACTGCCCAGGCTTCCACTGCTGTAATTATTTTGTGCCAGAAAGCCTGAGCTACCCAATCCCCCACTGCTCTGGTAATTCTGCGCTAAGTATCCAGAACTCACCATATTAGGCTGTTGTGCTAAATACCCAGAACTCCCCATGTTAGGCTGTTGTGCCAAATACCCAGTGCTCCCCAAATTAGGCGGTTGTGCCAAATACCCAGAACTACCCATATTAGGCTGCTGCGCCAAATATCCCGTACTTCCTAAATTAGGCTGTGGTGCCAAATATCCTGTACTTCCTAAATTAGGCTGTTGTGCCAAATATCCTGTACTCCCTAGATTAGGCTGATGTCCCAAGTATCCAGAACTTCCCATATTTGGTGATTGAGCCAAATATCCAGAACTGCCCATATTCTGTTGAGGCAGATAGCCAGGGCTTCCCATACCCCCACTGCTTGGATGCTGAGCTATGTTACCTGAATTTCCCAACCTCCCGCTGCCTAGATGGTTTGGCGTACCACCAACACACCCAGTAGTCAGTCCGTAGTATCCAGAGCTTTCCGCACTGCCAGCAGTTGGTAGATGGTTTATCCCAAGGTAAGTATCTGCTCCAGGATTCTGGGAAGTCAGTGCAGTGAAAGCGGATTCACTTCCACCTCCCGGCACCTGGTGGTTCATTCCAAGGTATGAGGAGCTTGCCAACTTCCCACTGCCCTGCTGTTCCAATCCATGGTAGCCTGATCCATTTATAACTGGCTTGTAACTAGCTAGGGTTGAGGACAATCTCTGTGTCGCAGGGGAGGCTCCCAGATCCAGACTGGTCTGTAAGGGTTTGGGTTCTACATGAACCTGTACCGTCTGCCTCAAGAAAGATGAGGTAGCACTGATTGAGGGAACACTGGGAGTCAGACATGATATTGGGAACATCCTTCGGCTGGAGAGCGGGGTTGCCTTTTTCTCCTCCTCTTTTTTCTTCTCAGCCTAAAGAGAGAGTTAACTAAATAACTAATAGCTCTCCATAAACCCAATTCAAACTCAGACATCAAAGGTTGATGGTCCAACAAAATGGGGGTACAAAAAGTTATCAGGAATGATTTGCTCAATTAAGAACAGTGTTATATTAGCTACTTAGCAATGTAGCATGATAAGCAGATGGGGTGCAGAGAACACAGTAAACCACATGCAGTCAACGTCCTGAGACAGATTTAAGCCCATAACGATGCATGCGCCCCATGCCTGCTAAAGCAAACATAAGATCCCAAGGTCACATTTTTTCCCCTGTAGCAGCATTAAATAGTGACTCCACCAAACTGATTAAACATTTATCTACAGTCAAGCTTACTGCGGAAAGCTGGCGGAGAGAGCTGAAGCGTTCTTTCCAGGTGACAGCAGCCTTGCGGAAGGCCTCGTGGCGAAGGATGAGTTGCTCAACCTCGTCTGTTTGGGTCCGGGCTCCTCCTCCCTCTGGCTCCTTGGAGGTGATCAGCGGCTCCTTGGCCTTCAGCCAGGCTTCTGCCTTCACCGTCTCCTGGGTGAACTGGAAATGTTCCTGCCCTGGAGTTGACAGCAGATCAACTGCATGGTTACCACAACACCACCGCACACTCCAGTAGAAATTGTTTGCGCCATCTTAGCAGATGTTTATATTACTATTACAGTAATGTTTGCAAGAACAATATTCTTCATACATTTTTCATGGAAAAAAGGACAAGGTAGAAAAACGTTTATAGTTAGAGCCATATAATATAAGTGGTTTGTTAAGAGCTGCTTCCGCTCTGATGTAATTGTAGTGAGTTACTCACTGCGCAGTAACTTCTCCTGGTGTTTGTCCCATTTTTCAATAAGATCCCTCTGCTTAGCCAGAAGACTGTCCAGCTTCTCTTGTATCTGTGGTGACAGACAGATTGCAGTCATTACCTCAGCAACATATTCCTGCATCCTAATCAAGTCATTTTATGGGTTTAATGTGTTCTTTGTGTTGTGCTGTTTGTCAGCCTGACCTCCTCTGATGCAGGGTTGCCTGCAGCTATGAGGATCTTGCCCAGGTCTGCACACTGCTGTATGGTCTTGCTGCGGCCGTCTACTTTGGCTTTCAGCTCCTGATGTTGTCTCATCATCACCTCGAGAGCCGTCAGATCTCTGAGGACGGATAGAACAGATACATAAGGATAAATGAAGAAAAAATAACTATCATGGGGTGTGTAGTCCACCAAAGAAACTCTTGGTTGTGTGAAATTCTGTCGACTCTTCAACCAATCCACTTATTGACGGGAGCTGGGGAGAATAATAATTTATAGAATACTCTCAGTGATGGTAAGCAAAACCAAGCCACCTGTTCCAAAGAAATAGGCATTACACAAAATGGGTCAATACAATACAAATGTACAGTTGTTAAAGAAGCCTATTACTATAACAGCAGGTCATGAATATATTTAACATTCTAACAAAATCCCAAAGCATATTCCAGTTCAAATTGTAAGCCTTCTGGCTTCAGAGTGTTTTTAGGTTATATGCGTTTTTTTTTCAAATTCAATCAATATCAAGGAATCCTGAAAAACCTACAGAGTGTAAAATGTGAACTGTAAGCGGTATACCAGTAGACATACTGTAGTACAGTACTTGTGGTAAAATGATGAATGAGGCTGAATAATAATGACTTTGTCGACCCTGCCTTTATTCTAGAGCCAGCAGCAGAACCAGCTCTCACCATCCTCTCACAACACTATGAAATGCTCCCATGCACACAACAGGATACATCCTTCTGGTATAGGTGGCCATAGATGTAGCCAACAACGCTCTTTGACAATAATTATCTTCATTTTACCATCACATTTCATAACAACGATAATAACAGCCTCCATATGTTTTTGAGCATTTCTCCTTTATCTCTGATATTGGAGAGACATGGACAGGAAGTCTTAGAGATAACTGTGGATGACATGCAATTAAGGCTGGATTTCCAACCTGAGATGGTTTGCTTACATTATATGTATTAGATCCATGTTACAGTGATGTTATTTTCTCTGGCCAGGCAATTGATGGACATAAATGTTGATATTTAATTAACAAAGTGAATAGTTATTAAGCAAAAACCAACAGACGTTAGCTTGTTCCAGCTTCACAAAGGCGAGTGAAGTTTATTGTAAAATTAACAATTTTGTGTTTTAGATTGAAATAACTAAACAGAGATATAATCTGAAAACTTATCAATGGGAGAATATTGTCTTTAACATGGGTTGGTTAAGGAATTGCAAAAGCAAATGGGTAGAATATAATCATAGATATATTTGGACCTCAGTGAGACGTCAAAGGCCTGGTCTTATTCAAAGCAAAGAGTGCTGAAAATGTAATAGCTCTATGGGTAATGTTCTACTCCTCAAGTGGGACTTTACCCCACTTTGGACACGAGTGGTTTCTGCAATTGAGTAGTGATTGGATCAGCTGTTTCTGCCTTCATAAATATGTTCTACCAGCTGGACTTACAAAGGCCAGCATCTTGGTGAGCTCTCACAGGCTCTCCTTTTGCATCCACTTTCAGAGTAAGGAACTGGAAAATGTAAGCACACCTTGAAACAACTTATTGTGGATTTGGAGTCAACTGGAAATTAACTGAAATGTGGGTAGCTTCCTTAAATGTTTTTATGAAGGGGATCATTAGATAGTAATTTGTAGAAAACATTAATGTATGACAAGTGACATGTGTGACAGGTGATTTGTGGAATATTGTCTCAAATAAGGTATGAAATGGCTAAAAATTACAATTTCCTAAAGCCGGGGGTTACGTCTTCAAATGTTGTCTTTGTCAAACTATCAAGCCAAACCCAAAGACATTCAGTTGGCAATCACATAACACACATTCTGAAGCAGAAAATCTTCACAACGGAGAAACTGGAACAAGAGAATGTCAGTCATGTTTGCTTTAAAAATGAAATGATTAACCAATTAGCCTTTTTGTTGATCCAATAATCTATTATTCGCCAAACATTAAAGAAAATGTGACACAAATTTTAATTGGACCCCTTTAAAAGACGGGCACATGCAATCTTCATCAGTGGCACAGTGAGAATGTCAATGCATATGGTGATATACATAAACAGCTGCTAATATTTGGAATACACTATGCAGCAGTAGTGATAACAGTGTAAAATGTGTAGCCCTCAAACACATAATAATAATACCAGATGTCATCTGAAAATTAGGTCAAGGTGGCACAGCAGCCTAATTCGACACAGCACGGAAATGAATTCTCTCTATAGGGACTGCACAAAACCACAGGGACCTCCAGCTAACTGAACACAGAATGCAGCTCCTCAACCAGCACAACACACTGTATACAATGGGTTTAATGCACAGCTCTACACTGAAGAGTAAGCAGGTGTGCAGCAGGAGTCTTACCTGGGCTCATCCCATATAATCTGGCCCATGATGCCTTCCATCCACATGAGGTTTTCACGCACCACGGAGAAGAACTGCACCTTGTCTGTGACTGAGGTGACCTGCACACGGCTGGCCTCACAGGAGCTCAGCAGCTCCTTCCAGGCCTCCATCACTTCCAGCTCTTTGACCATGATGGCCTCCGCCTTTTCCCCAGCGTAGATGGTCCTCAGCTGGGCCGCATTCTCCTGCAGCTGCCTCACCTGCAGAGAAAGGATGAAGAGGCGTCATTACAGGAGAACACTGTCAGTGTAGAAGAGAGCTTGTAGAACTAAAAGGATTTTATTAGTGTGTCTGATATTTTGTATTACTAGAGATGCTATCTCATCTACTTTTATAATGCTTTTACCTATTTATATTTAATCTTTTTTTACCAGGGATTTGTCTTATTTGATTTGATTTGATGTATTATGTCTTTATTGTACAAGGGCCATGCACAACAACATCAATCTCAAAAAGAGAAGAGATCATTTATGCCAGACTTGAGCTAATAGCTCATATCCATCTGCAGTCCCTGGGCAGGTACACACATAACAATCAACAAACACTTAAAACATTACTAAAAAATCCAACTACGATGAAACAAATGTTGGCAGGACTGGTCGCTCACGATCCATTTGTTTTGCACCATGGGAAATAGAGCGAACGTCTGTGCACATTTGAAGTTCAGCTGAATGATCTTGAATACCGATCAAACTTTTGAAAACAGAAGGAGATGTTGTTGTATTTGGACAGTATATTGCAATGATGTTGATTTAATGATTTATCATTAAAAAGTTATAAGGGATCTCAATGTGTTTCAGCACTCTCTTACTTGCCTTGGACCAGCAGGTTATACAATATCAGATAATGTGATTGAATCATGAGGTACAAACATGTTTTCGATGCTTCTATTGCTAAACAATTCCTCAGATGTCTCAATTTGAAGATTTTATATATCAGTTGTCGACTTGTGTTTTTGATATGGCTTTTGAAAGTCAAGTTGGTATCTCAATCACTCCTAAACATCTCCCCATGTTAACGTTTTTGATAATTTGTCCATTATCCTTAAGCTGTGATTATCTTATTATTAGTCAAATGTAACGTGTGTATGCTCCTATATTTAATATGTAAGCCTACGTTTTATCTGCACTGTCTGATTTATCTGTCTGATTGCTGTAACAGTGTAAAAGTGGGGAAATGAAGGTTACAGGAACAGAGGATTTCTGGTCTGCCATCATCCCTTTGCTCATGAGCAGGAGTACACTGTGTGACGTATGGTGTCAGAACTCATCACTTGCCTGTGCAACCAGCAGTTGAAGGGCATGCTCAAAGGAGTGCATGAGCCTCTGCAGGGTGGCTGGATTGGTGATGTTGGCTTGGCACGCCCTCACCTCTGGCAGCTGCTTCATCTTCCCTGCGATCTGAGCCAAGACCTACAACACAGGACAGTGTCATTATCACGAGCGCTTCAAAAATAGAAGCTGCATGTCCCGGCCAGACTGTCTACCTCTGAAATGAAGAACACGGTACTCCTGATATTAGTTTTGACGGTACCTCTTTGCAGTCGGTGAAGAACTTGTGCAGCTGGTGCGAGGCGAGCAGCATCTGCCTGCGGGTCTCCATCAGCTCCAAGAGGTCGGCCCACGACTCGTTCAGCCCGTCCTTCCACTCGGCGATGGTGGCCGCGTCCGAGTGGCCGCAGTCGATCATCTCGTTCACCATTTTGTTGACATGCTCCATGCGCTGCTGCCCGATGCTGTTGGTTTCTGTGGCAAACTTGGTGAATCTCTCCTGAAGCACCTGGAACACACATAGAGCACAAACACTACAAACACACTGATACAATGCATTAACTGAGGAAAGAAAACCTCGGTTTGATATAATTGAATAGTAATTTGAATACATGATTCCTTTTTTTAAAGACTAAATGATTAATGGTCTAATACAGAAATTATTCTGTAAATTAATCAATTAGGAGAGTTTCAGACCCAGTTTATTCAAAACAGAAACATGATTGGAGGTGTGTGATCAAAATCATGAATACAAAAATGTTTTCTACGTGTCTAACACTGTACATTTTAGTGATAGTCTTTTTATTTTATTTTTATTGAACAGAATTGTATATTGTTTTTATTCATTCTGTGACGCCCTCTCACAACAAAATATATATTTCTGGTATAACTGGCGCAGCAGTCCTTTAAGATATCTTTTTTGAATGTTGTTTTTTTTATATATAAAAATATATATAAAAGAATATTTGTATTTTCTAACTAAATCAAATAATTTAAAGATATTTCTGTTCTTCATGTGTATTTTGTGTATTTTAAAATAAGGGAAACAAAATCTGGTCCGGTCTAAATAAACCTGATTTCTGCGTAAATGTTGTAAAAGTTGTCTGTTTTATTGCCTGATTACAGTTCATTGTATTCTTAATACTTAGCTATATTAGCTGGTTCATTTAGCCTTACACTGCCGAAAAAATATATATTGTTCACCATTAATTATCGTTCTTTTTGTACATGTGTTAAATTCAAAGCTTTTTAATAGCTGGTGAACAGGAACAGTGAGTTCTGACATGTTAAGAATATTTGTACTGTTTACTATAACTGCTTTTACACTTGGTATTTAATTAAGTGTGAAAGGGTTAGGGTTATGCTTATGGTCAAATGTTCACTGTTCAGATGTGAGACGTGTCAAATAGTTCTTGGTGTTCTCATAAATTAACCTTATCCTCAGTGTAATGTCTGCTGTGTTTGTTGTGGTGTAGTTGCTGGACTGACCGTGACGTCCTCAAGGTCGTGGCCCAGCTCGGTGGAACTGGCCACGGTCTCTCGCTCAGTGATCCACTTCTCCAGCTCCTCCACGTCCTTGTTGAGCTGATAGAGCCAGTACTGCTGCTCCAGCTTATTCTTCCTGTGCTCCACCATGTCCTTCAGAGACACGTACAGCCGGTCTATGTGCGACTGCTGCTTGGTGAGCTGCTCACTGAAGAACATTGAGAGAAAATAGAATGTTACAGCTACCAACAAGAGGCGCTTTGACCATTTTACCCTAATGTTACCCAACCTATACAGTAGATATAACATGCAAATATTAAACTTTCCTCTTTTCCTGGGCTATAAGTGCTGCTTGGTGAGTGCACGTGAGACCCTGGGTCAGGCCACACCTTTCTGGGTGGCCCATTTCCATAAGAAGCTGGCATTGCTGGGTGAGCATGCCTACTGTCTCTGCATAATTTTCCACTGTTTGCTCCAGAGCCAGGTGGCCCTTCAGCAGCTGCAGGGTGCTCGCCTCGTCCTGAAAAATATCAAAAGGGTATCAGGATACAGGATTCACTTTCACATTTATGCCAACATGCACCTGTTTGACTGACGGGGCGGTCCGTACCGTTCCTTTTTCTTCATTGACCAGTTGGAGCTTCTGACCTGACAGCCAGGTCTCCACTTTAGCCGCGTCGCTGTAGTACTGCTGAGACAGCAGCATGGCGTCCAGCATCATACACCTCCTCTCGGCCTCCAGCTGCAAAACCTCCCACAGCTGGCGCACATGCCCCGCCCCTTCACGCACACACTCCACCTCAGGGGTCCTCAGCGAAGCGATGATCCCCGCCCGGTCCAGAACCTCCTCCACACGAGCCCGCCGCCCTGTCAGCTCCCTCTGAAGGGTCTGAAGGACCAATCACAGATAAGTTCCCCGACTAAGAGGTCATATCAGCAGATCGTAACCATCATGTTTGACACTCACCTGGTTCTTCTTTACATGCTGCTGTACACTCTGGAGGTTATTCCCATAATCCTTACAGGAGGCCAAGGGAAGCCTCTCCTGGATCCACAGCTATCAAGTAAACACAGTCAGGACATTACATTATTTAAGAAAGCTCTGGAAAAAACACTGATGCATAGCATGATGCAATTAAAAAAGAAATTGAGCTATTTAAATATTCTACTTTAATATAATATACTAACACAGGCGGAATTCTAAAACAGAACTAAAAGCAGATTATAATATACACTGTTCAAATTGCACTTGTTCCAGCACAAAACAGCCCACATTTCTCTCACTAAACAAAATAAGAACAAAAACTTAAGTTAATTAGATTTCAAACTAAATAGTGATAGTACTTTTTACTGTTTTGTATAAATGTTAAGTTATTTGCTGGTCTTTGGAATACAGTTAATCAGTTAATGTGAATGTTGAGAAATTCCCGATACCATCTTGGCATGTTTACTATGCCTGCACCACATTGTTAAAGCCTTATAACATCTACACTAACCAGTAGCAGCTTATCGTAACCATACAACATACTGCTATATATAAATAGATATCATTAATACCAATCAGCAGAATTGAACTCATCCTATTGGTACAGCCTTCCACAACAGTCTCAGTTCCTCATTTGGGAAAATGAATCGCCCACACTTGGTGTAAATGGAAGAGGAAATATATGAAAGGTAAGGATGGGGAACTCAGTAGTGTGCACTCACTATCTCATCCTCCAGGTCTTGGGCGACTTGATGCATCTCTTTGGAGGCCAGCAGGATGCGGCGTCTCTCCTTCAGCGGCTCGATGAGGCGGACGATGCGAGTCTCCACGACGCCTGACTGCTCGCCGGCCTCCCTGTCACTTGCCATCAGGCCTCGCTGGGGCAGGCAGACACCCTGCACGCTGCCCAGCTCTCCCACATCCTTGTAATAGTCCCCTATCTGAGACTCCATAGCCTGCAGCGGAGGGGAGGGGAAGGTCATGTTACAGCCAGCAGAGGGATGGACAAACACAGCACATCAGCTGTTTTCCTATCAGAACATTTCAGGCTTATGTATGGACTGCCTCCCTTTAAGGAAAAAGGCATATGTTGCATTTTTTATTCCACTGAACCTCATGCTTCAGAACACACCGCCACAATAGCAGCCTGTGTAGACACATGTCAGAGCCATAGACTGTTTATATAAAGCTCAGGGCTGAGGAACATTACATAAACAACAGGGAGCTGAAGAATGCAGTCTTACTCGGTCAGAAGCATTGGTTACATTCAGGCAGGTTAGAGAAGTCTCATGGGCAAAGGTACTGTTGAGATATTATATCATCTTCTATAATCTTCAAACTGAGTCACTAGTCAGAGGATGTAGACAAAGCAGCACAGGCTGTTGTATTATTTTGGTTTGTTTTCAACTGAAGCCCAGGGGTGGAATGTAACTTAGTACTTTAAATGAAATACTAAACTTCAGTTTATTGTTGAAGCACTTCTATGTTGTGCTACTTTACTTCACCTTGGCGACCATGAATGTGAAACATATGATTCCATGTCCTATATCCACACCACCACCGCTAAGCTAAAGGCGGCTGACGTTCATCGTAATCATGTTAGGTAGCATAGTATGGTAAAAGCCTTGCAATGTTAAACCCCTGATGCAGTGAGTCCTTCTCTCCCTTACTTTAACTTGTTGCCTCAACTCCTGCAAGGCAATCATCAGGTGTGCTGAGGGTGTGTCCCGGGGAACAATTTCTATAGTGAATTACGGAGGAGAAAGAGGGGTGTACAGCGGCTTGCTGGGGAGTGAAATAAAAGGCATTTGGCTCTTTTTATGGTTTACTTCGATCAACTGAACAGAGAAACCATCTCATCTGAGGACCAAATATTGAGCATCGAACCTTGAGTATTTATTTATCTTTTTTACTTTCAGAGAGTTTCATTCATGTTTTTCTCTTTTCCAATGAATTGCTTTTTTCTCAATAACATTACTCTAGTTATTTGGTTTGTGCTTTTGGACAAAGCACTGGATAAGGCTTAGGATACACATTTTAGAGGATGACCACGGATGATGGTTTCCACCATTTTAATCATTTGTGGCCACTTGTCAGAGACCCTTTGAGACTTGCCTGGAATTTCTGGAGCTGCTCATTGAAGGTGGGCAGATGGTGAGCCTGCTCCAGTTGGGGGGGCTGCTGCTCCAGGTGGGAGAGCTGGTTGTCCAGGTCCGAGAAGCTCTTCACCGCCGGCTCAGGCTTGTTGTTTTCAAAGAGCTGGCGAGCCTTGGCCTTGGTGGTGCTCTCCAGGTCGGACCAGCACTCTCTGATCTCCACCAGCTTCTGCTGGACCACCGAACGCAGCTCGGGCTTCTCCTGGATCAGTTCCTGACCCTCCTGGAGTTAGAAAATGAACTGATGTCAAAGCACTGATCAAAACACCAATCTAAGTCACTATGTATTTTCTATGTATCTGATTTAAAAATATACATGATATGTTGGACTGTCATTTCTTGGCTGAGTGGCTGTACGCTCTCCCTCGACTCTAAAATGTCAGCTTTTGCTTCGAGCCACGGTTCCTATGGGCTGAGATGATTGTTGCTTCACTTGGTACCAGAAATCAGTGAACTGCATCCATTTTCCACCATTTTAGAATTCTAGCGCGAAGATCTATAAATCAAAAAGTGTTCATTTAAATCTAAAAAATCACATTTTTTAAATGAAAGCCCTATTGCAAATCTCCACACACATATGAACACATGCCATTCTGATGAATGATCTTGTTTTATATTTATTATTTTATTGCATAAAGGCAATGTTGAAATCCCATTTACTCGTGCTGAAATTGAATGGCTAAATTTAGTTTTGTCCCTAAAATAGCTCGTCAGAGAGGCAGGTGTATGGAGCAAAGTTTGGCCTCGGGCTGACCTAAAAATCATTCACGGTAATTCTAATAAACTGTCCTGTGCTCTTCTGCCCCTCCTCCCTCCCCTACATCTAGGGCTAAATCATGACGTGATTTGTTGAGGAGATTCTTGGGGCTAAAGGCTTGTCAATGAAACTGCACTGAAAAAACTGAAACATTGAATTTAATTAAATGTATTATGTCAACAGATTTCACATAACTGTATTAGGTTAGTTGAAGGCAATTATATTACGTTTTAATGCAAAATATTAGGTTGAACTTAATATTATTGGTTTCAACTAACCTAATACAGTTATGTGAAATCTGTTGACATAATACATTTAATTAAAGGCAACGTTTCAGTTTTGTTAGTGTGTTGCCTTAAATCGATTATAGTCACACCTTCACGACTCTTTTAAGATTTGGTCTATTGGAAGATTATTTTAGAAATGTTTCTTTCACACATGACAGTTAATGATGTAATCATTATTTCCTTGTATTGTCACAACCAGCATGCACATGTTGGATTGCATCCTTTACATTGTGCTTCCCTCCTTTATCTGTCACAGGGAGCTGGACGTATCCTACAGTATGGCTCTCATAATGCAGTGCTGCATTCCTCCTCTTGGCACAGGCTCTCTGCTCAACTGCTGCTAGCGCTCACTCTCTCTCAGCCTCTCCTATCTTTCCTCAGCCTCGCTCTGCCTCTCATAATGCAGAGCCAGCAGAAAGCAGGTCTCTCTCTCTCCTCTCTTGGCTTTACTGACACACAGAGTGAGGCAGAGGGAGAACAAATCAGAGAGGGGGTGGAGAGAGGAGTGGGGAGAGGCAGCGTAAAGGAAGAAGCAAAAGGAGAAAGAATCAAAGGTTGGTGGAACAGGAGCGAGGCCGTGTGTGTGCTGGGCAGCCGGTGCGCGGTTGGATCCAAAGGGCATCTGTGAAGTGGATTTTCGAGGCAATCATGGCTGGTGATATTATAATGCAGAGCAAATAATGGATCATGCTATTATATAAGCATCTTGTTGCCAAATTCTGCAGGCTGATGCAGCAGAGTGTAAGGTGGGTGGAATAAAGGGCTTGGTTTATACTACTGGCACAAACAACAATGAATTCACTCCCACTGAATGCATCAAAGTAACACTATGCAACTTATGCTTTTAACCATTCAAAGAGTCATAATGCTGCAAATAAGACCAAATGCAGCTTCAAACCAACCCACAATGCAACACTAACACAGTGCATAGAGTGGTGCAGTGATGATGTATTTTTGTAGACCCGGAAGTTAGCATCACAAGTGCTCCCTTAATCAAAACCAATGTGATCTCCACTCTGGATTTCGGTATAGTGCAGAAAATAAAATATTTTGCAAACATACATTTATGATACTTATTTTTTGTTCAGCAGGATAATCTCCACATATCAAATATTATTTTGTAATTTTTGAAGCGCAAGTGCATTTGGCAGAAACAAAAAGCTAACGGTAGGCTACAAACAAAATATACTACGACCACATGGCAGCGCATCAACAACGCTAAGCTAAAGTTGGACTTGTGTCGGTGTGAAGACGTTTTGTAGTTTATTTAGTCACTTTTTAGCAACCGCTGTATTTATGACACGTACAAGCTTTGGAAATTCACGAGTGGAAGCACTAACGTATTTTCTGCCAAGGGCTATGTGAGTAGCTTCAATGCTACGATACAGCGGAACATGATTTTTAAAAGGAAAGAATGCCAAAGTGCTCATATGTTCTGAACTTTCAAAAATATGTTATGAACCAAAAGGCAAACTATATCCCGTACATTTTTATAAAATGATCAAATAAAGTCAACATTTCACTGTGTTAACTGAGTTGTGTGCTGTTTCTTAAGCAGTTTTTTTAACATGACATGTTCGAATTCTGATAAATATAATAATTTGAATTGGGATTCACAAGCAACCATTTCCTTTCATTATACCTATTTAATTCAATTTCCACCGACTGAAGGTATATTTCTTGTTGTTGCCCACATTTATAAATCTCATTATGTAGTTCATTTATAGTGCAGTGCAAATATATTTCAAGCTGTGAACAGCTTTACACATTGCTGTTTTATAACATGATTATGACATGACTGGCTTTACTGTATAACCGGCAGTGTTTCAAATCATCTGCCACTTTGAAAATTTCCTTAGTCATGTATTTATATCATTCTTTAATTATGACTTGTATTCCTTTTTTCCCCTAAAACAACTGCACCATTAGCCCAACATATTATCTACAGCTCTTTTGCTTGTACAGTTGCAAGAAAAAGTATGTGAACCCTTTGGAACTACCTGGATTTCTGCATAAATTGGTCATAAAATGTGTTCTGATCTTCATCTAAGTCACAACAATAGACAAACACAGTCTGCTTAAGCTAAAACCACACAAACAATTATATGTTTTTATGTTTTTATTGAACACACCATGTAAACATTCACAGTGCAGGGTGGAAAAAGTATGTGAACCCTTGGATTTAATAACTGGTTGACCCTCCTTTGGCAGCAATAACCTCAACCAAACGTTTCCTATAGTTGCATATCAGACCTGCACAACGGTCAGGAGGAATTTTGGACCATTCCTCTTTACAAAACTGTTTCAGTTCAGCAATATTCTTGGGATGTCTGGTGTGAATCGCTCTCTTGAGGTCATGCCACAGCATCTCAATTGGGTTGAGGTCAGGACTCTGACTGGGCCACTCCAGAAGGCGTATTTTCTTCTGTTGAAGCCATTCTGTTGTTGATTTACTTCTGTGCTTTGGGTCGTTGTCCTGTTGCATCACCCATCTTCTGTTGAGCTTCAATTGGTGGACAGATGGCCTTAAGTTCTCCAGCAAAATGTCTTGATAAACTTGAGAATTCATTTTTCCGTCGATGATGGCAATCTGTCCAGGCCCTGAGGCAGCAAAGCAGCCCCAAACTATGATGCTCCCTCCACCATACTTCACAGTTGGAATGAGGTTTTGATGTTGGTGTGCTGTGCCTTTTTTTCTCCACACATAGCGTTGTGTGTTCCTTCCAAACAACTCAACTTTGGTTTCATCTGTCCACCGAATATTTTGCCAGTAGTGCTGTGGAACATCCAGGTGCTCTTTTGCAAACTTCAAACGTGCAGCAATGTTTTTTCTGGACAGCAGTGGCTTCCTCCATTTTATGACCAACTTATGCAGAAATCCAGGTAATTCCAAAGGGTTCACATACTTTTTCTTGCAACTGTATATGTCTGTCTGTGCAATATCTTTTTTACTCTCTGTTTTACCTGCCCAAAATATTAATCGCCATTGTGGATTAATAAAGTTGAATTGAAACAAATCGAATTGAATTAAAATGAAGATGACAAGGTTTCACATTTAACTGAAATGGTGATGTTTGTATGGAACAGAATGTCATAATCTAAAGCAAGCACAGTTGTTTTTTTACCTTATTAAAAAATATTGATTACATTTGTACCTTTGTCAATTTGTTTACTTCATTGACCAGGTCGATAATAGTCTAATATAATAACCCATACACGACAGCAGACACTAAAGAGCTGGTAGGAAGGTTTTAAAATGGAGTGTGGAACATTTGTCTCCCCCCTTTGGCAGAGAGAGAAATCACAATATGTCAAAACATCTTGTTTTACTATTTGATTGATTTTAAACAAACAATACTCCTTCATATTCATGAATTTCAGAAAATTGAACATTTATTGCCATGTTCACACGATAAATACATTTTGAAGTTTGTAAAGGTAGGATTACAACCGCCTCCTTCCCGACATCTCCCCGATTCAATGAATGTCAGGCCCATAGTAACACAGCAGGGGGTTTTACTCTAATTTTAAATAAAAACTAAGTCTTGTCTTTCGGAATATGAACTTATTGTGAGCAAATTCAGGTGATAAAATAGAGCTCTGAAGCTTTTAAAGGTATAATGACAAGTAACAAATGGAACAACTCAATGACACAGTATTCACACACACACACACACACACACACACACACACACACACACACACACACACACACACACACACACACACACACACCATCTTCCTATTTAATACAATGGATGGATCCCCCATGGACAATAAGGTGCTGTTTTCACCAACAATTATCCCAAAATAGGGGACATTTTTGATTGTAAATTAGAAGGTATGTTGTGGAACCCTTAAAATCACATGTGGATAGTCTGAGGCCCAGACTGCCTCTGATGTATTTACCAAATGGCACTGGTCTATATAAGTTTCAATTATTTGTTTATGCCAATTCTGTTTAATTTAACACATTTTGATGAGCAAGGGTATGCATGGGAATATTGGCATGCACAAGGACATGTAGCCTTCATGCACACTTGAGTGAACATTAGCCTGTGCTCAAAAGAGATAACCAGAAGTGCACAAGTTAAACTTAAATTGTATATTGATGACCATTCGTGGGTACGGATGCCAACTTCGCTCTGTGGGTGCACATAAGCATTTGCTCAAAAATGCAAAGTTAAAGTATATCAGCAAAGTCAACGTTTTCCTTCAATTTTTTCATTGATAGGCGTGCACGTGGGAATTGATGTGCATGTGTATGTGAGTGCCCCATACTAGTACTTCTTAAAGCCAAGATACCATCAAAGTGGGCTAACAACATTTCTTAATCCTATATCACTTTGATTCCCAAACTGTTGTACATCACTGAGGGTAAGACACTTTAGCTAGGTGGTACACAAGACCCCACTGAAAGGCCTTACAATTGCCCTTTGACTGGTCCAAGTCCTAAACTAAAGACCAAAAAAAGGGGTCATATTATATAATACCTTAACGACTGAAGGTCTATACAGTATATGTGTTACTGAGTTCCCATCCATTATCATGACAACCTTTCCACCAATGGTATTTCGTTTTTAGTGTGTGCTAAGGACAAGAGGCAGTGCATTTGTGAGGTCATTTGGATCACTGATTCTGTAGAAAACTGCAAAAACCCAGTCCATCTGCACTGAGCTGGGGTCTGTATCAACACAATTCCATTCAAAGAAACAAGAACATAACAATATTGCTCTCATTACAAACCAAATGTACCGGTGAAATACGATTCACCGTATTCAAAGAGCATTGATTAGATTAGAATCTTTAATGACCACACAGCCAGGTTGGTGGAATTTGTGTTGAGTGCAGATTATTACAGCTTGTTCCATACAATTCAACATACAATAAACAGACAATAAAAAGTAAAACACACAGCACAGGGCATACATCATGACATACATCATGACATATATCCTTCTTATTCTATGAAAATGCTACCCAATACACAGCCACAGAGAGGTCGAGTGGGTTAATGTACCCTCAAGGTATAATAGCTCAGATGCCTGTTTCCAGGCCCATAGCTTCCTGAAAATATGTCCCCCTGAACATTACAGTTAAAGGGGCCCTATTTTCAAATGTTCAGGTTTGTATTTAGTGTCTCTACTGTGACATGTCTCCATGGTTTAATGTTCAAAAAGCTCTTTATTTTTCTCATACCGCCTGTGCTGCAGAACCTCTTTTCACCCTCTGTCTGAAACCAGAGCCCAGTCTGCTCTGATTGGTTAGCCTGTATATTGTCTGAACAGTTTAGAAACCTCTGCTATAGTAAATATAATTTAATTCATTATGGCAATTTGACAGCAAAATTGGCGGTTAAATTAAACATATGAGCAATAAGATGAAACATGCTTGGCAGTAGGTTATGAGCTCACACTAGAACAGCATGAACACTTTGATAACAACACACTTAACACCATTTCACAGTGTGATATTATTATGGCAAATAAATTACAGGAGAAATTCATTTATTCATTTTTATACCTATCAAATAATCGTTAGTTTGAAGAAAAACTCGATAACCCTGTAATCATATGTAGTGTGCTTAAAATGGCCACAAACAGACACGGTGGTGAAGTTACGAGTTTAAATCTCTTTCACAGAACACATTTTTACGTTTTGTGTTGGTAACATTAAATAGAGCATACTATGCTCATTTTCAGGTTCATGTTTGTATTTAGTACCTCTACTGTGACATTGTTGTTCTCACTGTAACATGTTAAAATGTCTTCAGTAAAATAACGTTTTCTGAGAGATGCATTTATAGTTTTTTTCTATTGTATTTTTTATCATGACATGTATTGACAACGAACATACATTGACAAATATGCCAAATATATTTATTAAGTCAAATAAAGTCATCATGTCTTGGTAAAATTCTACCTGCCAAAAACAAAGTAGAAGGTAAAGAGTAATGTATCATTTTAATGTTTTTGTTGTTTTTCCTTGAGTCAGGGTTATTTCCCCTTTGACCCCCACCTGATTGGGGCCTGGATGATCACAATCATTGTTAAATGTATTAGGTACCGGCCCCTAGACAGACATCCAAGTGATATAGTGCCAATATGTTAATATGCAAATAGTGTGTGTTCATTAGTCTGTCACTAAACTATGTGCTCCAGCTGGCTCATGTTTTTCTCTGTGTGCTGATCCCTGAGCCTAAGGCTTGGCACAAGGTCAGCCGTGAGTCCTCTCACTGTAACAGAGAAGCTCCCGAAGATCCTCCACACACCAGGCGGCATGGACCTGTGTGCAAGGCTTCATGTGCTGAGTAAGTACTGAGAGAACAGAGGAGAGCGGCCGAGGCAGGAACCCTTCCAAGAGGACGCAGAGTTCTCTGATCACGGCAGGACGCGGCGTCATCTTTTCTGTCTCTCAGGTAACGGCAGAGAGAGAGATAGGGGGAGATTGAGTGATGTTAGCAGGGCTATGGAGACATGAGGGTATATGTAACTGTCTGTACTGAGCTACATGCATTTTTGGAGAGAGAGAAAACTCCTATGGAGCAGCCATCTTCTGCACTCAGTGTGAATCCTTTCAGTTCATTAATCTGGAGTTTGGCACGGTTATACATATTTGCTGATGATTCAGAAGTAGAACGCTATATCCTGTTTCAGTCCGCTTTTATTTCAAGCTGAGATGTCATCCTAGTTAGTGGACCTCTACATTTCATGTGATCATTACTGTTGTGATAGACAGAACATTAACTGATTATTATTTCAAAAAATAGTCAAATGTATTTTACACGTTTGGCAACTGGTAATGTCTCATGGTTGTGGTGGCAATGTGGACGCCAACCATTCAATACAACTGTCAATGGTTCCATTCCGCTCCAGGAGCTTTCTTGCTTTTTGTACCCTTACCCAAGTCATTTGTGTTCTTCTAAGACCCAAATCTATTCAGTTACAATGATTAAAAAAACGGAGAAAAGCCAATCACTGCATTTAAAAGCTAGAACTAGAGATTGGTTACATTTTTTGCTTGAAAATGGCGGAAGCCTAAACAATTCAGCGATAATCAAAACATTGCAGCTTACTCTTCTGTCAATTGAGCAATCAATAAATCCCTGAATCCTTTTTTTAAGCACTACATTGTAGAATCCGAAAGAAAAAAAAGTATGTAAAAGCTAAGACCTCATTTGATTTGATTCCAACCTGGCAGTATTTTACAAACATGGCCGCACAGCTTCAGGGACTAAACCTAGGAACCAGGAAACCTTCTACGACGACAAACCTTGAAATACATTTCACACATGGACAACCCACATGGTTAATGAGGATTTCCTCATTCGGTAATGTTGGGCTTGCCTTCATAGGCCATGGTTATAATTAGTTACACTGCTATCTAATGAATATTTAATAATAGGCCTAGTGTATATACTAAAAATGAATGTGTAAAAAATCTATACAGTCTAATGAATTTCTTAATGTATTCAATACAAAAATTAATAATTAAAACAATTGGAAATGTCAACAAAACCTCTCGGTATTATTAGAGATGTAAATACATTTTAGCAAGGTCAAAGTCTGATAAATCTCAGCCACACAGCCATCCCATCATTCAGCACTTCCTTCTAATTGTTTGTCCATGAACCTCTTGTCAGGTATTTTAGTCACAGTGATTGCCATAGTGGTAGAGCACTCCTTTACTTGTAGATTTTCAGTACAAGTAAGAAAACATTGCTGACAGGACACACTTTACACAATCATTCTTTGTGATTGTGATTTTTAAAATAGCAGAATCATGAGATTAGAAAACAGGTTTGTCGGTGTCTTATGTCTTATGCTTGGAGGCTGAATGCAACAGAGCAGTCCTAGTTTAATCTAAATCCCATTTACCTCTGATATCTCATCAATCTGAATCAATTATTAAACAGCACACACCTTAGATCAGCAATTTTGTATGAATAGTTTAGAAGCAAAGGTTTCTAAGAATGTTACCATGTGCTGGGCATAACAGCTAAATCACACATTATTACACAATGCATGTTTCTACGTTAAGAAACATTTGGGTTTAAAATTAAATTAACACTTTTATTCTCTACATGACCTCCTCATCAGGAATTTCACACGTGACTGAAATATTAAACACATTTTTCTAAAGAATAGCAACAGCATATTTGTGGTTTAGATTGGCCAGATGCAACAAGCCATTAGCAGAAATGGAGTCTCATTGACTAATTCATATCTCACCTCAGCTTCACTGAGGCAGAGGGCATGGAGAACATTCTGTGTGGATGGAATGGTGCTCTGTCTTGGAAGCAAAGCATGTTGGGAATCTGGGGCAATAAAATCCAACCTGAGAATGTTTTCATGATGTGAACTGCCTTTATGTATATGTCCCTAACAGATACCATGTGTAGATAAATGGGGGAAAGAGGAATCTGCTATCTCTGTATAGCCTTTTCTGCTGCAACGATTTCAGTGTCCTCTATATGATTAACTGTAACCTCCATAACTGAGCAATGAAAATCATGTGGCCTAACGTCTGTGCAGAGAGCAAAGATCCACAGGGATCCTGCCACCTGTGAGCCTGAACACACAGCCACTATAGCAATATAACCTTGAGAATGTAATTCAGGATGTCCCCGAGTAAAGTGATGAAATGAAAGCTGAGTGATGATATCTCTCCCACTTTTCCCTATTCTATATTACTGCCACCACACCCACTGTTACTCATGCCCCCCTCCCCAACGACCCACCTGCCTATCTGACCTCCCCGTCCCTCCATCCTTCCATCATGGTGCCCTGATCAACTCTACTCACCTGTTCTATCTTGGCGAGCCATTCCTTATTGCGGGCCAGTTCCGCCATAAAGGCCTGGTGCTTCAGCCACTTCCTGTGAAGCTTTTGAGCCTCATCCCGCGCAGTGTCTCGGGCCATAAGCATCTTCTCTTCCACCCGCTGTCCCAATCACTCAGCTAGGGGAGACAAAAATAGCCACCATCAGGAGTCCAACGCTCGAGCCAGCCCTTCTTCCCCCCTTTCCCACAGGACGTCCTGCCTGCCTCCAGTACGCAAGAGCCCCCCGCTCTGCTCTGCAGGGGCCTGGCTACCTGTGCTATCACCACCCACCCCAACCCCCACCAGACACCCTTTCTGTAGAGAAAAAAAGAATCAAGATAAGCACCTCAGCAGCAGTGGTAGCAATTGAAGCACTCAAGCTCTTCCTTTGGGTTGCCCCTGGGTCCTCATGCCCTACTGCTTCATGGGTCTTGCGGTCCTGATGCTGCAGTGCCTGCTAGTCAGTCTCAGAGAAGGCAAAAACAACCAGCGAAATAGAGGAAATGCGCCAATGACAACACTGGTACAGAATGACACACACCTCCAAGATTCTTCTCGGATTGTGGGTTATCTTCTAGCTACAAATGCCGATTACAATCCAGCTATCATTGAAGGTGTAGATGTAGCATAGCCACAGAAGAATCTTTCAGCCCGGGCAAAACCTGACCATCCACCACTCGCCAGTCCCAGTGAATCTGTAGTCCTGGCTAATGATGCTGTAGACAGGAGGAGGAGGAAGAGTTGGAGTGGGAGGAGCAGGGTGAATGGGATGCAGAGGCAGTGCAGAGGAGGCCGGATAACATAAGCTATCCACTCGTGAAATGCATGGTTCCTTCCGCTGCAAAGATGTACGAGCAGGCGGCTGTGAGATAGCACACTATTTTCTCTCCTCAGTTCCCCTTCCTCGTGTCCCCGAACAGCTCAGCCGCGCTTGGTGCATGCTGCTGCAGTCCTTGCCTCTCAGCTACACTCCTGTGTGTGCGTGTGTGCTTGCGTGAGTGTGTGTGTGTGTGCAATCACAATCAGCACTGCAGTGCCGGAGCAGAGAGAGAGTGAGAGAGAGAGAGAGAGAGAGAGAGGGGGGGGAGCAAGAAGGAGGGGAGAGAGGGGGGAGACAGCAAGGGAAGAGGGAGACAGGTTAGAGGAAATGGAGAAAGGGGGAGCGCCATGCAGAGCAAAAAGAAGAAGAAGAAGAAGGGAGCGCAAGTCAAAAGAGGGAAAAGATGGTGTTGGTGGGGGGTTAGTAAAACAGAGAAAGGAAGAGACAGCCTGCGTCATCCCTCAGTGTCACCAGGGACATTTCTCTGCACTAGAAATGACTGCACTCAGAGCGGGAGCGGGATTTGGGAAGGAGGGGGAGGTGTCGTTTAAAACAGCTGAATGAGAAGGATGCACACATGCTCCACGCTGCAGCTGACTGATTCGGATCACTGTTCATGCTTCCTCTTTGAGGGGACCTGCATGTGATCCTGCTGCTGCAGAGATGCCACTCGGGTGAAGAGGGTGCACACATTTTAACCGTGTACTCTGGCTAATGCTGCTCCCAGATCTGAATTATAGATAAGCAGGACAAAAAGATTTGTTCATTTCTCATTTTTTACTGAGCATGTGCTGCAGCATTGAATTTGTATTTATTTATATTCTGTTTGTTAAAATTATTTAATTTTTGTTATCAAATTCGATCATCCTCAGAACCCAGAGGAGATTAAAGTTGCATGAGTAACAGAGTGAAGTGCAGCACTACCATTAACCACCATGTCGTGTTTTTCAAGTTGGTTGTGTATTCTTTTTGTGATAGTTCAGAATTGAATAGACTAGTCAGGTGCCCATTTTGAAATGGCCGATTGCTTTGCTACAACTCTTCCAAGTTGTAGCATTGGGAACTTGCTCGTTTGGAGTGCGTTGCTATTGGGAATACATCGGTATGGTTGTTTGCAACTGCTAAATGTGTAGTCGATTGTATACATGGTTCTCAAGATATGTGGCCGACAGACAAACAAACATACATAGACATCTGCTGGACCATCACCAATTTGCAAATAGTAACCAGAATAAGTCCAGAATATCTACACATTTACACCAGATGTGGTCACAATAGCAAGAATTGTAAGGAGAAATCACGTTTTTTGTAATGTCAGCCCTGTCCACAGTATTTCAGCCAACTTTGAGAACCAGCTAATGGACAGAATGTTACAAATATGAGAAAGCGACTTCACTAATAAATCTGGCGATGAAAAATATTATATACCTAACATAACACACTATTGAAACCGGAGCAATACAACTGCCAAGTGTAACGCCAATCAGATCAACTGTTCTCGAGATATGATAAGGATAAACCCACAGACAGACAGAGAAAAAACGTCCTTCCTTTATAGTTACATTAGTGCAGCCCCTGTGCAAAACATGCCTGTCCAGAACGGGCGGGATGCATGACCTCTGGTATTGCTGCTCGCAGCCATTCCAAGAAATGCTCAAGCAGGCAACAATTTCAATACACCTGCCATCATGATGTTGTTGCGTCACACAGAGCATGAATTAGATTAGAAACTGTTTTTTGCCTTACATCCAGAATCCATGTAAGGTTACTTATCCAGGATTTAACTATGAGTTGCACACTGTAAAAGGACTACTGCAGATAACATGCTAAAGTCTGCAGAGCCCTGAAGTTTAGAAATATTAACATGTTGCCTGTCCTAATTGCAACAAAGGTAATAAAGCCCAGCAGTACAACAGCCAAGTATAAGGTATATCAGATGAATGGTTCTTAAGATATGTGAGGAAGGTGTTAAGTGTTGTAACTTAGACAGCATATGTTGCAAGATGTTCTTATACACTGTTCATAGCTAAACCTTTCTAAAATCAATGCACTCACTCAATCAACGATTATATATATATACATATATCATGAAATTATTTGGAGGTTAAGTATTCGCACGAATAACAATGCACAAAAAACTCAAATGTGTTTGAACACCCTGAGAGGTTTGAGAGGCTTATGTAGATACCTAATAATAAAAAGATTTTTGGAAAATTATTTGTGCTTTCATTTTTGCATTTTCTCACTACAATAAAGACTTTGGCTGACAGGGGCAAACACGCCCAAAACACTAACGTTCGGGGAAATGCGCTGAACTTTCAAAAAACATGCAAATGCACACAACATGTGTGCAGCATTTAGAAAACATTCACCAACTTGATGAAACATGCACAGCCACAGCTAAAAACGCTGCATAAACTAAACGCTGCAAACACAAAGCGCTGCAGATAAAAAAATGCTGCAAGAAAGCTCAAAACACACGGAAACAGGGACACTAAAAAGTGATGCAGTAGTTGGGACAGGAGCGCTTGACGTTCAAGGATTATAAAGTTGGCCAACAATCATTGTCACTCGAAAGTTAAAGGATGGAACCATTGATGAACAAAGATAACTGGATACAGCGGATGCTCAGTGCCACATAAAGCTAAAATGGTCTGACACTAGAAAAAAATACCTGTATGTTCCAGGGATCTTCCGGCAGTTGGTTCCATTT